CCAAAAATGTGCTTAACAATAGTGATCCTGGGGCAGGAATTCTCTTTTATGCTTGCATTGTTGCAGTAAAAAACAGTAGATCACATCACAGTACACCAAATAGAATGGTTTTTTTCAGATTCAAAAATTCGAGTGACTTAGTTAACTTTATCTGCATTTTAATAGTACATTAGGTTTTGTTGCTTTAGCACAAACAAACAATGTATTTTTTCTGTTATGATATTTTATTTTACTGTTTTAGTGCGAGGAGATATGCAGTTTTTCTATTGTTTCAGGTTGGTTCAGATGGCTCCTCAATATTACGATATGTCGACGTTTCCGGATTGTGATGCCAAAAGGAAGCTGCAGCATACAATCTCAGCGTTACAGGCACTACGGGCCGCACGCGGTTTATGAATTTCATTCATTGCTTGTTTAATTTAATACATATATGTTGCTCTAAAATTGATTTGAACCAGCGATTTTTGGGGAATTTAAAATATCGGTAAACAAAAACAGTGCTACTAAATTCTTGGTCCTGTTCATTATCTTTGGATACTTCATATATTTCCTCTAGTTATTTGTGGATTTATAAGTCGCTTACTCTCCCCTCCACATGTAGTTTTTATAATAAAAAATTTCAACTGTATTCGCCTAATTCGCTGATTCCCTGATTTTGGAATAAACAGCCTAAAAGCTCTTTTTTTTTAAACTAAAAATTAAGATTTACAAGAAATGTGACGTTATTGTAAGCTGTTATTTTTAAACGTTGGAAATTTTTTTTTCACTTTGCTTTCCGAACTGTTAACTTTTAGTTCAGGCACGCTGTGACTGTTCCTAACGATTGTATTCTAAAACTGAAAGATTGTTATGTTTCTTCAAGCTGGAAGATTATTATGTTTTAGTGGACTGCTTCTTTTTCCCTTACTTTTTTTTTTGAATTACAGCCGATCTAAACTTGTACAGAGCATGATATGTTTTGTGTATTTTCTCTATTTTAACATAAATTTGTTTTAACATTTCCACGCAGGAAAAAGATTAGTAACTATGTTGACACTGTTTCAATTTCCTCTACTGCTTGGGATGGAAAACGAAAGAATCAGAATTCTGTCTTATTTCTGAAAAACGAAAACGCAGAATTTTATCGTATTTTCAGCAGAATTCTGTTTCTGTTTCTGTCGGAGGAATTAAAATTTTTAAAACTTTCAAGCATGGGTTTTTTTCCCCTTTTTTGTTGGAGTGCGTGGTGCACTGGCAAGTAGTGCAATTGAAGATAAAAGTTGAAGGGCTCGGCCAGCAAAACAACCAGTTCCTCTGCGATTCATTCATTCGTTTCGATGGTAAATTGGTAGCGCTTTGTGTCAAGGAATCAAAATGCCATCAGCTTGCTTTTA